AATTGTAAGTGTAAGAAGGCTAAGACCCAGTTCCACCTACTCTTCTGCAAGCTAGCAAACAACAAAGACCCTAAGCTTTTGGCTAAGGCCAAGAAGAACCCCAGCTGCTCTTTGGACATCACTGCGAGAAGCTTTTTAGCCTGGTCTACTTTAAGACCGAATTCTACACCAAAATCTGTCTCTAGTTAGACACGCCTCCTTTTCTTTCCCTTCTCGTTTAATTATATATCTCCTTTGTCTTACCCTGGTTCTAAAACTAATTAAGGATAAGGGCTGTTCCGAAAGTGGAACTTCTCTTTAAATTGTCTCTTGTAAATTAGCTCATTCGTTTACACCCCCTGTAGCCTAGGTCACCCCCCTGGCGTCATTTGCCCTATTTTGGGACTCTTCTAGGACCTAGCCCACGCGAGCTAGAATCCGCCTGCCGTTAAATAGTAATATATAAATAAATATAATAGTCAGCGACTCAGTGCACCTTCCCACGGCGCTGTCGCTTGGGGTTAGCGGAAGCAAGTGTCACGCCAAGTACTAGTATAGGGCTCTTCCCTACGTTATAGCGCCACTTTTAGTAGTAGAAAAGATTTATACATAAGCCAGATTTATAAGTATAATTGATTATTGCTCTATCACCAAAGTCTTGTCTTTTAAATACGATTTTCGTAGGGTGCGTACGTAAGCAGTGCAAATACGAGGTTCTTGTGTGTACAGCGCCGTGGGAAGGTGCACTGGCTATTATCCCTTGGACCGTAAATCACACAGCGCCAAGGCTTGGCCCTAACGTCAGGTCTCGAACACGTCCAGCTTAATCTGTAGCAGCAGTAATACCTCGATTTACAGCTGTCTATCGAACTATACCTAAAAGCATTGTAAATCTATAATCTTCTGTAAGAAGTAGTATAGCTCAAACTAATATCTTTAGCCAGTTTAGTAATTCTATAATTTAAGTGGATTCTGTCTACGAGTAAGGAAACTAGGATAATACTTCTACTTCTACTTGGCGCTTTCATTGTGTCTGGACAACTAATAAATGCAATTGTTCTTGGTCCAGGTAAGGGTATGTATGAAATCATCATTACCTGTATAATGACTAGAATTTTAGAAGTGATTGGTTGATTACGGATACATATCATTTTCTCGCTTAATCAGATCATCGCACCGCCGCCCTAGTTTGGGTTCTCCCGAATACCCCTTTCTAGTTTAATATTCTTAAGTAACCAGGTCAGAGTGTGAAATAATTTGGATACTTGTATTTGGAACTATAGCTGGTACAAACCCCCTCCAGAGTCTGAGTTTGGGCTAAGTAAATCTGATATCCGAAATATAAGCCATCTGAAATAGCAATAATCGGCTCGGAAATAACGAAATGAGAATATATATAAAGGTTATCTCGGTGTACTTACCGGATTTCTTAAAGCGACAAGGGGGCTAAGTCGCCGGATACACGTGATATATGTTCGCTTCTTGTAGTAAGACATAGACGATAGCATAAATAATTACTTATTAATCTCCGCGGTCTAGAGGTTTTAACAATTTAATTCGTGAATACAAAAGCAACGTATATACTAAATGAGAATGTAGGGTATAACTAACAATGAAATTACCACTAAAAAAGTATCTAATGTTCTCCTAGGATACTAAAAAGTTTATATCGCTTCTTTGCCTACAGTGTATATAATTCTCTACACTCTCCTGCTTCCCAGCAAATACTATCTAATAATCGTTGTTTAGCTTTTTTTTTGCCCTTATTAACAGCTGAAATAAAGCGCTCTCTCTTATCTTTCATCATCTTAAAGACCTGCTTTTTCTCTACTGTAATATCCCCTTAAAGGTTATTCTATTTCTTCCCAGCGTGCCAACAAAACTAATCAAATACTCAACGCTACTCGAGTAGTAATCGAGTTGAGTTGAATGAGTATAATAGTAGATTCCGTTGAGTTGAGTTAATTAGTAGATTTGACTAATCGATTAATACTCGAGTAGCTATATATAACGTGACTATAATATAAGAAAATAGTATAACGTGGTTTATCAGCGAGTCGATCATATCAGCGAGTCGATCACTTTTTCTTGGCACAGAACTTTACACCTAAATAAATCAACCACAATATATTAAATTAATTATCGCTCTCTATATCTGACGAACTAGATATATCTATAACTTCTTGACAAGTTCGCGCGTTATGACCAGCTTTTCCACAAGTTCTACAGCGCCGCCTAGAAGGTTGCCCCTCCTTATAACCAACCCCCGCCTCACGCATGTCGCGTCGTACTTGCTCATCTACATCCTC